TTACTCATCACTTACAGAATGACTCTACAATAGCATTTCTTTCCAAGCAGCAATGTGCTCTTAGTACATTGCCTTGAAGGATTATCCATACAGTTAAATAAAATGAGTGTATAATCAAATTGCAAAATCCAAAAGGGGAAAAAAACTTGGAAAAATCATTAAGTTTATTGTTGAAATAGTTACTGTGAGAATTACTGTGGTAATCTGGCTTTGTTGCTTGTTTACAGAGGTATGACAGGACATAAAGGACTGAAATCAGACATGACAGATGCTTATTTTTTCCTTTATTCTTGATCAAAACAGTAGTTTGTATAGGTATAAATACTAAGTCTCCTTAAACTGAATTTTTAAAAGAAAATAGGGCTCAGAAGGCTGACTTCACCAATCTCTGAAATTAAATTGCTGTGTTGGTGAGTTATTAGTTTCCCAACGCTCTTGCCATTCCAGGAGTAACTCAAGGAAAATAATGTTCATAGGAGGGACCTGCATGGGAAGGCACAAGGTTGAGCAGAACAGGTTCAGGGCCTGCGGAGAAGGAGGAGGAAAGCTGTGTAAGGTACAGGTACCGAAAAGCAAAATAATTTTAACACACTCATGGAGTTTATAGACACTAACATGGTATCAAGATGGAGAAAATAACATATCTCAGAATCTTCTCTAAGGGCAATAAGAAGGAATTTTGATTCTTTTACAAGAGACTTTCTGTGTAATTTTTTGCTCAGTCTCTGTTCAGTCCAAGGTCGTTCGTCTCTGTAATAAATCACTCTCTGATACAATCTGTCAGCTGATTTTATTGCTTATAAAGTGGTTCTGCTTGGAATGTTGTACCATGGAAGCTTGAATAAGACACTATCAGCTTTCCTATCATTGCATTTTAATTTGAATGTGTCGGGATCCTAATGAATTGCACAATCTGCTAGCCCAGTCTTGCTTTTAACTTAAATACTAGCTGATTAGAAATCTGTTCTGCATTTGCGGAATATAGATGCACCTTTACTAAGGAAGCAGTTTTTGAGGTGCCAGGTGCTCTCAATCACAACAGTGAGTAGGAGCTGCCAGTGCTGGGCAGATTGCAGGGGAATTTGCATGTTTCCCCATGTGAAGAAAACTATGAAAAGCAAAGAAATTACCTAGTGGCGTAATTATAGATCTAATTTGTAACGCTTGCTACATGTGAAACATCCAACAAACTCTCAGAGGTATCATGCATGAACATACGGAGATCAATGGTATCTATGTCCTGAACCTTTGACAGTATTAATGGAATTGGTGTTTGTCAGATGAGGATAGTTTGTGGTCTCTGCTCAAATTATTTCCAAATCCCAGTCAAAATTTCAAATGTTTAACTTATAAACATTTTGTTTCTTTCAAAGGAAGTTCTGTATTTTGTCCCTGCTTTACACCCGGTATAATCCCACAGGCCCTGACCAGGAGAGTGGCAGATATAACTCAGGGTAGATGGTATGTGCTTAACACTACTGCATGACTTTTTATTTTATAAGTTGCCTGCTGTCTCTTGCTCTCTCCATGCAGTAAGCCAACCCTTTTAGATTCTTGGAGGATTATCCTTAAAGGACAAACCTCTTGTGAAACTATTTTATTTTAAATTTTCATATATCTTTATATACAGATATCTTGAGGTATACCTGGTAATAAAATATATAAACACCTTTCTCTCTGAATTTGTACAATACAAGTAAGAGGTATGTTAAATTCTGCAAATATCTGAGGGGAATCTATTTGTTTGCTGTGTGCAGTAGGGGATTTCTGTGCGTAGTCACCCTACAGCTAGGGTCGCTTGGCCTGATCTGATTAAAAAGGAACATCTAAAATGATGTAAGTCTGCAGAATCAAGGTATCTCATTTTAAGTGCAATTTTAGAAGAAACGTAGGTTGAATTCCTTTTACTTCTATATATCACATTCTATTTGAATGTGTGTGTGTGTGTATAATATATATATGTACATATTTTTTTTAAGAAGGACTGTGTCCTCACTGTCTCCTATGGACAAAAGGAATTTCCATGCATTCCAGTTTACATTGCTACATTTGTTCTAATATTTGAACAATTACTTAGGGTCTAGTACGCAAAGGAAAGGGTCAAGAGTGATTTTAAAAAGATATTTGTGAACCCATCACCTCATGTTTTATTTCCTTGTCTAGTCTCTCTGCTAACACATGGGAGTTACTTTATTTATTTATTGTGAATAATCCTTTGGCCTTAATGTATCTTTGTTCAGAAGCAAAAACCCTAAGAAGGTTGCTTTACCTAGCAGCATTACATAAAGGGTTTTTTTTTTAATTTGCATCACACAAAATACATCAGATAAATACCGGCCTAGCAAAAGCAGGTTGCCTGAAGTGCAGAGAAAATGATCTTTGAAAACTCTGGTATTAAGCTGTTGCACACACATGTACACTAATATACAAGGTTAGTCTAGGCTACCTGGGGAGCAAACTGCAGCCTTTCTGCAGCAAAATCAAGGTTTTTTTTCTTAGACCAGTAATAGTTTTCATATTCAGGACCTCCACTTTTACATGTGCATGCAGGTGAACAAAGGTACTATCTCTATAGACTGACATTGTACAAAAACATTTATGACCATGGAAGCTTAAGGCCTTTACTCGCTGAGTAAATGCTCTATAGCATTGTTTATCCAGACTTCTGTTAAAACTAAGCTTTCTAACCTTAACCGTACTGGTATTGCACTAAAGGAGGATTTATCCATGGATAAATCCATAGATACTTGTTTTTGCTTAAGATAGAACAGCAGCAGCTTCATTGATTGATGGAAATAACTTCTGTTACTGCTCTTTCTTTGAGAGCATTTCCCACAAACCTTCCTTGGGAATGGCTCACTTACAAACAGGGTTATTGTTCACAACAAGTATTTGTGTTCTTGGTACTTGGAGACCAGTCTGGACTTGCTTACTGTGTTCAGTCACAGAACAATGGGCCGTTTTGTATTGATTTCAATTGAATTGCACCTGGGATTAATTAGCCCAATAGTCTACAGTAAAGTAATTGCCCAGTTCTAATGCATTTTTATTTTGTCAAAGCTGATTAACTAGGAGTCTACAATACCCTACAAGTATGCCATGAATCCAGAATGATTTTTTCACCAAGTCCCTAATTTCACAGGGAATGTGAAATTATATACACACATATTGTTTTACATTGAAAACCATGATAGTAAAAGGTATGAGGGAACCTTTTGTTTTGTTTTGTTTTGTGGTTTTTTTTTCTGCCTCAGATCTATAGCAAGAGATTTTTGGAATAGCTTTCTCACTAGGATGGTCAGAGAAAGCAAGTATCAGTTATTTGAAATTCTGTGAAGCCTTCTTTCCTCTTGTCCTGTGTCTTATCTATGAATGTTGACCATCTTCATTTCCCTTTGCTCCCAGAATCTATCTGCATACATCTGTAATAACATACCAAAATTGTACACTGCAATAACATAGGAGCAGGGGGTCAGGTGCTTTGAAAGTTGTGGCTGGCCACTGTAATTTAGAGTCTGATAAGTCCATAGGGTATCAAATTTTCAGCAATCACAATTTTAATGTCTCTCAAACTAGACTGAAATGAGAAGGATAAAGCATGCAGTTACCCACTGACAAGATCTTTGTTATTGTGTTGACTTTTTTCCTATAAAAGGTGGATTTTTTTTTTTTTTGTAACAATGAGAATATTCAGAGTAATATTTTTGTCTGATCCCTTTTAGATTTGCATAGGACTACTGAGGGTTATAGGTATATAAGGGAAGAAATGCCAAGCAACTTTAAACATAAATGAGAATAGGGTATATGGAGGAACATAGTGCAAGAACAAGTCTCTTCAGCACAGAACATGTTACATTTCTCTAAAGGAAAGTATCATGCTTTTCATTGTCGAGAAGGTTTCTGAGCGCTGCTGGAATCCTGCCTACAAAGCTGTAATCTCTCCAYGGAGAAAGTGGATTTGGTCTTGGTTTTTGCTTGCACGTCACCTAGCATCCTTTCTATCACACTTGCTTATACTTACTGACTTCTCAGAAGGCTGCCTCTGTTGAGGGCCTTCACAAGGAGACGGGGGCTTCAAAACAGCGCTTTGACTGCTATGGTTTTAATGGTATTATTTATACTCTGCAATGATATTTTCTATCCTGCTTGTAGGGTGAACATAGTTTGATGCCTGACCGGCCAAAACAGGGGTCCTGTGATGCTTCTCGGGCTGCTAACGCTGCTTGTAGAACTGCGTTTCTGCTGGGGCTGGTGTATCTGTGAGGAAGAACATCCAGCCGGCTCCCGGGAGCGCTGGGCCATGGTGGAAGCGCAAGGCGGGCGCTCAGCTCTCTGCTCTGCTGCACCTGAGGTAGCTGGTGATAAAACACAGCCCTGGGGGATGGGTGGATGGAAAGTGGCTTTCCTGGCAAGTTTAAGCTGGTTTGGCAGCTGCTTTCCAGATATTTTCTTTCAGACATAGGTTTTTTTTCTTAGAATTTTTCATATTCTGCAAGGCTCTTAACTGCTGACCCAGGGCAGCTAACACTACAGGGACGACTTCCAGTTAACCTAAGAGTCATCCCTGTAGTGTTAGCACACTTGTGCGTGGGGCTGGGCAGACGGGGTGGCCTTCACCCACGCTCGCTAAAGTAGCGCAGGGCTCCTCCTCGGGAAGCCGCTTCCCGATGAGCTCCCATCCCCTCAGAGGAGCCCAGAGTGGCCGAACAAGCGCGGCCGCCGGGCGACGCGCTGGGGGGCCAGGGCCGCGCGGCGCCAGGACGCGCGGGGGGCACCGCAGCCACCCTCGA